GGAAGAATGAAGCCTCCCATCTGCCTCTGTATACTCTGCGAACCTACTAGACCCCACCAATTACCTCAGAGACCTTGCATGCTCTTCCAAGTCCTTCCATAGACCCCACCTGCCCCCAATCTCCCCATGGACCCCGCCTGCCTGCCCAATCCCCCCACAGACCCCATATTGCCCCTTGAGTCCCCCAAGCCTCCCCATCCCAATTTACCTTAAATCAGATTGCAGCAAAAGCTCTGTTATCCGGCATCCCCCAGAAATGGGGGATACCGGTTAATCAAATATGCCGCGTCTGGTACACTATGCGTTCGTGTCAGCGTGCTGGGGGACAGGAAGCGGGGCCCACAGAGACTGCTTTGCCCCGGGCCGCAGCCCACAAGGAAGAATCACAGCAAGAGGGACTTGGCTCATGGTGGTGAAACCAGAAGTGGGACTTCCGGTTTTGCTTTTTTCTGCATCCCTCGGAAGATTGACAGATGACAGTTAGTGGAGCTATCTAGTTGATAAAGTACCAGATAACACAGCTTTTTCCATACCTTAGAGATTGGTCTAACCTCCCCAAATGCCTTTATGCACCTCTAGTCTCTCTGAGCAATTTAAAAACAGTAACAAAAAATGTTTTCCATCCACGGTACAAGATAAGTTTAGAATAACCCCAATTAACATCAAGCATATATTATTTACTGTGTTTTTAAATGTTACATGATCTTATATTTTATTTCAGGAAAGTCACAAACCAAACCCTCCTCAGAAGCCATTACCAGCAAATCCTCTGAACAAAACCACTCGCTTTAACAGTGCCTCCATCCCAGTGCTCGGACAGGGGAAATCTATGCCTCACATTACTCCTGTAAGGTGAGTTTTGTGAATCAGAACTGCATATGGCAAAGCACATACCTTGCTAGCAATAGTAAGATCTGTCTTTCTTACATCAAGCTTACCACAGTTCTGGAAAAGCCTGGATCCTCTCCATTTAAATGCTTTCTTTAGACCAGTAAAGTTCTCGCCCAACATAAACATGTTGGCTTTGTGGCTGTATCTTATTCTTGTAAGGGACTATTATCATATTATAAAACTGATAAAAACATGGAAAGCATGTATTGTGAAAAAATTAGACACGATATCATAATAAGCCTTACTCTGATCTGCACCTAAGAACAATATAAATATCTTTAGTCATTATCAAGATATACAGCAATAATTTCCTTTTGCTTTCTGTGTATATGACAAATTCAGCCAGATTCCCGGTTAGTGTATATCAGCAAGGCTGCATTAATTTCAATTGAGCTATGACAGATTATACCATCTGAGAATCTGGCCGGAAGCTTCTCATTCGCTTAATAGTTAATTAATGGTTTTAAATATTATCTATTACAGAAAGGCTATTCTAGACACAGGCAAAATTTCCACTGATAGCCTATCTCCCACTGATGGAGACATGCTTCCGGGAGGTTTGCAGAATTAGGTGAACTAAAGAAGTTAGTGTCATTATCAGCTGTTAAGTGTTACCATATCAGGCCAGACCAAAGATCCATCCACACCAGGATTCTCTGTCACCGTTTCAATCAGAGAATGTTTTAAAGAGAAAGTATAAGAAACCAACTGGTATGTTCCCACTTCAGTCACACTCTCCCAGTCACAGTGAGGCTACATCCCTGATTGTTGCCTTCAATAGCTCCTTATGGAACTACTGTCCATAAATTTGTCTAATCCCTTTTTGAACTCTCCTACACTATTACCCTTCGTAATATTCTGGGATATTAAATTGATATGAGTTTGATATTCTGAGTGTTGTGTAAAAGTACTTCCTTTTGTTTGTTTTGAAACTGACCCCTGATGGTTTCATCAGGTGGACCTTAGTTCTTGTGTTAGAAGACAAATTAACTCACTTCCAATTTTTTTTCCCAAACCATTCATGATTTTAAAGACCTCCATCAAATCCTTTATCAGTGATTTCTTTTCTAAGCTGAAGAAACATACCCCTTCTCATGCCTCTTCCCACAGAAGCCTCTCTATATACTCGATCATCTTTGTTATCTTCTCTTAACCTTTTCTAGTCCTAGTACATCATTTTTGAGATGGAGAAACTAGAACCACACACACTATTTAAGATGTGGGCACATCATGAAATATAAAAATGGCATAATGTTGTTTTCAATTTATTTCTTTATGATTCCTGTTTTTATTTGCCTGTCTGACTGCTGCTGATTTTTAGAGAGCTCTCTACAATGACTCCAAGATCACTTTACTGACTGGTAACAGATCATTCAGAGCCCATCACTGAGTATGTACAATTAGGATTGTTTTTCCCCTGTGAACTACTCTTCACTTAACATTGTTAATATTTCATATGCCACTTTATTGCTTAGTCAGTTTTGTGAAATCTTTCCGCACCCCTTCCCCATCACCTTTGGGTCTGACTATCAAAATAATTTTGTATAATCTGAAAACTTTACCACTTCTTCATATGCTCCCTTTTCCAGATTGTTTATGAATCTGTTGAACTTGAAAATTATAACAGGCCTATCAATTTGCAGCACCTAAGAATCTGACCCAGAATATGCAAATCTCCTTGTTTAGGAAGAGGTGACTCATATTATTCAAACGTAAATTGGGAATTCAATTTGAAATAGGTGACCCAAATGAGCAGTGGGAAGGAATGAGGCAGAAAGAATGCAAGAAAGACTGGTCCTGTAGCCCTCAGAGGCAAAATCCAGCAAGATTGGTCAGATCTGACATATGCAAGATTATATGCAATAACTTTGTACTTTGAGATTATGACTTACTGTTTCAAAAATGCTTTATGGGCAGAGTTAAATACTTCAGGATCAAATTCAAATCAAGTGAAATTTAGTATCACTAAGGATGAAGAGATAGGAAAGGGAGGGGTTTCATCATATTACTTACAAAGAATGCTTAGCAAAGAAATACAACTAAAACAGGCAAGATAAATAAATTCAAATAGTTAAAACAAAGATTAAATATAAAAATCCCCCATATTGTAAATGCATAAGATGGTTTGGAAGAGTCCATAATTTGCTTTGTGGTTTCTTTGTTGACACAGTTTAATTTCTGTTTTGACAGTTAAAGAAAATGCATGAAAATAGTTTTTTTTCAAGTCAGTATATTTCAAGAGGAAAATTGTGTGACAAGATAAATGATTATTTTTAAATAAACCCCCACACAAATATGTACAAAGAAGTTGATAGTTTTGTTAAACCACATGGACCCAAGTGTCTGTGAGAATCATAAATCTGTAGCACAGTGAATATCCCTGAATTCAAGGAAAGTCTCCTATTCCTACAGTAACTGCTTCCAATGAACCCATCTACCAGCCTTTCCAATATCAATATAATGCTGCAGACAGAGGTGTTGCAAATAGGATTGCCATCTTTTTCAGAGGTGGATACTACCAATTTTTCAGATTCTCTACCTTTTACAGCCTGCCAGCCCAGGACTGCTCCAACCTGGCTCAATGTGCTGCAGAGGGGCTGGCTGGGACACGAGAGTGCTCCAGTGCAGGGCTAACCAGCAGACAGCCCCCGCACTGAAGCACCCTCATGCCCCAGTCATCCCTGTCAGCATCTACATGTGCATTGCTGTGCACTACAGAACTCTGGCTCAGGACAGTACTTCTGTTTACAAGTACTAACCTGTGGCAGTTACCTTCCTGCAGACTAATAGGACCAGACGCGTAGATGTTGAGACTTTAGATGTGCCCAGTATGAGGTAAAGACAGATGAGATCAGTAAAACCTGTCCTGCTGAAAGTCATACATCTGTGTCCTCATCATGATGCCAAAATTAAAAACGAAGAGTTAAACATCATTTGTTTTGTTTTATGTCTTGTCTTCTTTTAAAACAGACCTGCTCCTAAACATCCACCACAACTGCCCAGATCCAGCAGCTGTGCCTATGTGAAATGACAACAAAATCCGACACCTTAACAAGTGACGACAGAAATTTGCACTATCTTTACTCCCAATGGAGTTCATTTTTGTAACGATACATAGAATTTTTAATGTTTAAAACACCATTATTTTAAGAACTCTGAGCTACTGCCTTTGGTGCTGTGCTGTGCTATGGTGCTCTGTGTACTTGCTCAGGTACTTGTAAATTATTAATTTATGTTGAATATTTATTACAGTGCGGTGCACTGTAGTAGATATTTTTGCCATAGCTGAGTTTTCCTAGGAAGGAAACCTTTTTGTAATATTTTAGTGAACTTGAATCATTCTCCTTTGTAGGTCCTATGTAGAATGTTTAGCTTTGATCTATACTTTATGGAGGACTGATACTCATGGATAAATCAATGCATAAACAACTAGAATGATCTTAATGGTTCAGAGCAACAAACTTAACAATTACATCAGGGTGAGCCACTTTTTCTGAAATGCAATGAAATGCCTGATATCTACACACATAGGTATAGTGTGTCTGTTTGACCAAAACAACTCATGACATTACCTGTTGTACTGTAATTTTAAGAGGCCTCATACTGCAGATTGAAAAATTGTCAGGAAAATCTATACTTAAAGAGGCTATAATGGTTTTGGACAAGTTCTCTTACTGAAGAAGTACTGTATATCATAAAACTGTATTTTTCACCTCATTTTCTCAAACACAATACAGTTCATCCAGATTAATGCAGGTATCAGGCCTTCCCATATAATTGCATTTTTGAGGTTTTGGTAATTATATTCAATCCATACTGTATAAGGTAGGGCCATCTTACGCTGTTGTATAGTGATTCAGTCACACTGATAATACATAACATACTGAAAAAAGAAGTTAGGAACAATGCTTATAAAGAATCAACAGTTTTTAAAAACAGAATATTATTCATTTATGCTGCCTTACTGCTCTGCTTATCAACTGCATTTTACTTATTTACTACAGTTACATATCTGACAGCTAAAATGTTATTGATAGTTTCTCTTTTTAAACTGAAATACTCAGAATCCTGTCGCAGTATTAAAATATGTACTTTAGTACACAGACCCAAGTTATCTTAAAATATGAAAAAAATCTTTGTACTTGGTGACTATGGTGAAAAGCTACCCAGTTCATCAGTTTTTATTCGAAAGCAAAGAATTTTTGTGTGAAAAAGTCCTGACGATGGGGTCGGCTTTTCACATTCAGATTTGGAGCTCATTTAGTACAGCCTTATTTTGCAACATGTAGGAGTATTTTATGCTCGGCTATGGTGCTCTCAAATTACCATGTGGTGAATCATCCTTTGCACAGCAACTGCATATTACTCCACATGCCAGCTTACATTAATCATTATCATCACACAACCACTTCTTTAATCAGAAACACAAACACCTTCCTAGCTTTTCCCTCCATCTATCCAAAACTATTTTGAGGAGAGTTTCACTGCTAGCATAGATATAATCACATTTTCAACACTATTAAAAAAAGCACAACATACGACATTTCACTAGATCAACTCTGTATTTGCTCTGAGTAGAAAGGTGTGTAGCTGTTTTAGTTTGAAGTCAGGCAGAAGTTAGCAAAGGGTGGCACCTTAGGGCACAACCAGATGAGCACACATGTGCGTTTCCCCAGGGACAAACAGCAATGACACATAGTTGTGCCACTGCTCCTAGTCCCCCGGGAACGCCTGTGCCCTGGGTGAGTAGTGGAGGCTGGGATCAGCGCCTTACCTGGGGCCTCCCGGGGCTTGAGTGGCTGCAGTCCAGCACATGGAGCCTGGCCAGCAGCTGGAGTGTAGCTCTGGCCAGCCTGGCTCCAGTTTAGGGGTGGCACACACTACTGCCACATGCGCCACCCTACTTTTATCAGCCTCAGGTTTTTTTGGAACCACAAACCACACCATTGATCTTCACTATAAAGAAAACAGTTTTCAAATACTAATTAGGAGGGACAGAGGAGGTCTTAATGCTAATATAGGTTAGTTTCTTGGTTCTTAGTTTTTGTTTCTTCAGGCAGAAACTTATAAGACCCTGGCTCTCCTCCTAGTCAGTATGATTGTATCTAACTTTCTCTATTACTCTCCATTTAAACTAAGCAAGACTGCAGTCATTTTAAGGATAAAGTACAGTAAAAAAAATCGACATCATAAAATAAACCAAAGAAAAATCCTTCTCACACAAATACTACAATTTTTAAAGTGCTCATATATAATAAAATTACTGGTGCTGTAATTTATCAAACTTTCTAAAAAACATTACTATCATTTATGCCAAACCTGGACAGTTACTAATGGTGCTACTTTTTTATACTGTATTTGATATGTAGTAAAAAAAAAAAAAAAAGCCAGGTGTTACTGTGAATATGTAAATAATAGTCTCATACATTTTAGATGCTTTTAGTATTTAAAAATATTTTAACTCCTGGTTGCTAGTAACTGCATCCTGTTCTGCTGCCCAAATCAGGGAAATGCTTACAAAAGCATGCTAGGTATTATGGTCTCACTTTACTCCTTTTAAAAGTGCATAAAGCCTGTTATTGGCTCCCACAAAACAATACTGATTTAAATAGTTCTGTATTATCCAAAACATCATTACTGTAACTGTGAGCAATGCTTTTGAAAGACAGTGTCAGATTGTTTATTATAGATAGAACTGGGTGTCTAAATACCTGTCAAAATACAGCCCTAAGTGAAACTCTAGCCCTGCTGAATTTCATCCTAAGAATTTCACACAATTCATTCTTAGGGTTACATCCTCAGCGGATGGACCATAAGAAGCTCCAATGATTTCACTGAAGCTATAGCAATTTATACCAGTTAAGGATCTGAAACTTTAATATTTATTACAGTTCTCAGTTTGATAATCAGGAATTACTTGTGAAGCTTTTAATAAGACTTAGACTAATACAAAACTTTTGTCCTTTTACTGGTTTGTGATAAAACACCACTCTGTGAGGTAAAGAAGTCAATGTTTGTACAAAGCTTTATTCCTGTTAAAGCCTCTATAAAATTGTTATACTTATAAAAACAATAGCAGCTAATCTTTGGAAGGCAACATGTTTATTCATTAGCCTTCGGCAAACATTAATTTTTCCTATGTTAATGTTATAATGTAGCAGGAATCAGCATGGCTTGCTTGTGTCTTAGTTATATATTGGCTTCCATGCATGATTATGTACAACAATGGAAATACTGCTTATCTTCTACTTTGAAGACAAAAGGGGAGTATGCACAGTATCAAAAATTATTTCTGTAGGCCAGTTTAAGGGTTGGTTATTGTTTATTTTCATGGCCTTTTCTTGATTAAAAGGTGATAATCCAGATTATAAATAGGTGAAATAAACATACATAATAATTCTCTGATGAGTTGTGAAACTAATTTTTAATGACTACAGCAGAATTAAGGAATGGATTTAATTGTAGAAGCTCTCAAGGGTCAAATTCATCCTGGCTCCAATTCCGTGTACCTACACACAGGATGAAATTAGGGCTATGTAAACTATCCATTTTCAAAACTGGAAAACAGAGGAAAGAAGGCTGCTTTACAACATACATTTTTCGGGTTGCCCAAGTGAAACAAGATGTGAACCACAAAGAGCCAAAAAATATCACCAAACCAAAAATACAAGAAAGCAATGAATATTTTAGCACCTGTGATCTACTGGGAATTCTCAAATGAAACCTGAAGACTATTTTTCTGTGTAATTTGTAAATTTATGCAATGGATCAGCATGCCAATATAAAAATAAATTCAAACTTCTTAGAAGAGTAATGGCTATAACTGGCAATCTATAGTGAAGCTGGGGCACCACTGGCCTGTTGCATGTTCGGTGCAAGTCAACTTTTATAAAAGGTAAGTTAAGAAAAAGACAGACATACTATAGAGAAGTGATTGGTTTGAACAATTTTAAACTAATAAATCTCCACTTACCAACAGCAATGTTTTTCCACTTCAGATACAAAAGGTACAATGATAAATTAATCTGGGTGCTAAAGCTCCGTTTATACATAATATTTATAAATAATTAATTGATGTTTTAAGCACAGTACAAATATGGTATAATCTGTTAAATCACCTGGTTTAAGCACGTTAACTAAGCTGTAGGCAGTTGTAAGACATACACATAATGTTCCCCAAAAGTTAACCATTTATCAAAGAATCACTTAATAATCCTTTTTAAAACTATTTATACATCTAGCCTTAATGAAGTGCAGCCGGCTTCCATAACCCACACATATTTTACCAAACAAGCTAGAGTCCCTGGTATGAATCTTGAGACACTAACTTACGAATGAATCATGAATCCAGTGAAGCTGTTTGTGTATGTGGGGAATCATCTCTGTGGAGCTCATCAGAGGATCAGGTTCTAAATTAATATGCAAGGTCTGAAAGGCAAATTTAAAGAATTAAATGTAGCTAATACTAAATTAGACTTGCCATATCCAATTTTGATAGCTCAAGACTTACACTTACACTTTTTGCTCACGTGGTCTGCACTGACACTATGCATTGTATCAGGAATAAAACGCCTCTTGCTCTTGGGGGTTCGTCTTTGTTCTAAATAAGAAATAGCAGAAAAATACCTTTAAACCACTGATGAACAATAGCAAGTATATACACAGTTACAACTACTTGAAATGGTTGAGTAAACAAATGGCTGTGTCAAAAGTTATTAAATATTTAAAAAACTTTTTCAAGCAAAACAGCTCCAGCGCATATTAACAATTTGGATAATAATAATACAACTAGAGGCTCTGATAAAAGCCCATATGACCTACCTGATACTTGCTGACTTGTGTCAGAGATGAGCAGCACCAGAGGTTTCTAGCCCCTTTGAGATTCTCACTGTCTTCATACTGGAGACAGCAACTTAAAAATGGAGGTGTGTGAATGAACCCTTAAAACGCACGCTCAAACACTCTCCCCAAGAAGGAAAACAATTATGAAACCAAGCAGAGGAGCTGTGTGTCAAAACTGTTGAAGGTGGGAACATTGTGCGCTCACGAGTGTAAACTGGGCACTTGGTCGGCAGTCACACAAAAGGCACTGTCAGTGGCTGTGTTGCCGGTACACTGGTCACCCCTACTTTGTTATACTACTGTGTGCTACAGGACATGTAATGAGGGAACTGTGAACCTACATCATTTACACAAACCAGTACCTGCAGGTACAGAACATTTCAGGCAAAATGGAACCTGCGTACATTTTGTAGGTGTACCTCTTGGGTACAGCCCCCTTCGCTGTGATGCATACTGTCTGATCACCATCACGTTTCCCCATACTCACTTTATGGGGTTTTAATTCTAATCTCAGCATTTACAACTAAAAATGTGAAACTCCCTGCCAAGATCTTTTCAAACATGCTCACACATTCATACACAGAGCTTTGATACTACAAACTGCTTCACAGAAGTGGACTGCTGTACGAAGGTCCCACGGTGAAATTCTGATAGAATATCCTTTAAACTGCAAATCATTACTTTAAAACAAATATCTTTAATTTGTAAAAATATGGTCCCTGTCTCCCTGCAGTTTTTAGATCCGTCTTTTGAACAGGTCCAAAGGCTACATATTTGTGTCTACTCTTCCTCTCCTTCACTGTTTTCAAGTGCATACTTCTGGTTCCTGCTTAGTAAGCCAGTTTTGCTGAAAAAATGCATATGGGCTCTCCAAAGCAACACACAGGAGTGAAGTTGCTATAGTCACAGGAAAATAAATACAAGTGAAACACTGAAAATGATTAAAATACAAATAAAAAAAGTAATAAAACAGGAAAGATGTGAGTTTTTCCCCATCTGAACTACTTCAGCATTAATAGTCCTGGGTATTATTTGTAACACAATACATATTAAGGTACAGGTGGAAGTGAGATTTTGAAGTTGATAGCAACCTTTTTTAAAATATCCAGTGAATTACATACTGACAATTTTTCCACTTTTCCTGATTGTTGTTTCCCACCCCACACCCCTCCAAGTCATCTCATTCTTGTTACTTGAATATATAATGTTACTGCACTATTTAAAAATACCAGTAAGGCCTTGCCACTTATACTTTGTCTTTAATTTAACTGGAAATTTACTGTAAAGTAGCAGATAGATTCATTCTTTAATTATACTGCACTGTGAAATGTAAAACCATCAACGCTAAAATTCACTCCACACAGATTATTATCCCTTCTAAACAGCAAGCATAAAACCATCCATAGGCTTTGCCCCATAAGTCATCTTTGTTTTCACAACAGACAGCTAAAAGTGAATTTAGTTAAGAGGGAAGCAAGAGAAAATATTAATACAGGTAATATTTGAGAGCACCGTGGTCTAGTGTTTTAAACATGGCAAATGAAACTGAGAGCTCCTGATTCTAATTCTAATTTTGAAGCAGACTTCTTTTTTGACCTTAAACAAGTCACTTAACCTCTTACTGTCATTTTCCCCCAGCAGTGAAATAGAAAGTGTAATACTTATTTACCTAGTATATAGGGTGATTCTGAGGCTTAGTTAAAATTTGCACTTCTTTATGAAAAATAAAAGCACTATGCAGGTTCCACACAAAGATCACCTAAGTCACCTTTCCCATATTCTCTGAATTGATTTCCTTCTCTAACACATCTCTGGGTATGTCTTATATCCATTTTACAACACAAGACTTTTTATGTAATAATTTGTTTTTAAACAAAGCATTAAAAATGTGACCAGCAGCTAAACAATCCTTAACTAAAACAGAGCAGAACAGAACTTTTTAGAAGCACTTTAAGGCAGGATGCATAAAAATACAGGCCTGAATCTGAAAATAAAGGTGCTATTGTTCTAAAAAGGTAACAGTTGATAAGTAATAGTAACTGTTTACGTTAACTACAGACCGTTTAGCACAGCATGAGCAGAGATTACAGCTATATATACCAGCACATTAATTTTTATGAAACATTCATTTATAATACTTGTTTGCTAAACTTTTTACACACTTTGCTACATAACAGTTTGTTTTACTTTTGTACACATTCCTTGTAAAATTTATAATTTTAAGGTGCTACAGGTGAACACAACCTAATGTTTCAATAGCTGAACAATCTATTCATTGTTAATGTACTATATTCAATAAATATCTTCTTCATGATGTTTGGTTTGGTTTTGTGTAATTACTAACATGATTCAACAAACAAAAACTAGCAGGTAGGAAGTCCAGCTGAGGGGGGAGGGCTTCAGTCTTACTGAAAGGTTATTGGAGAGAAGCACTTCTCAGGAAACCTAGGTGCCAAAGCTGTGTGTGGTGCCAGGAGCAAGGTATACACACACACACGAGATCCCTATTACACTCAGTAATCTAGTCATTGGGACATTGATGTCAAAGGCCTGAGGCCAGTTTTGTTCTGCTTGATTCAGAGCAGGTCTCTACTTCCTGTAGATAAGTGCTGTATCCCCACTACACTATCTGATTTGCTGGGGTGAATTGCTAATAATCTCTCCTGCTACAGTTGTTCCAGTTAGCATTATATAACTACATATTCACTGAAATGGAGGCAAGAAATGAGAAAGTGGCTTTACAGCTCCATGGTTAAGGCATATACCTGGGAGGCAGAATAGTCAGCTGTTCCCATGAAACTTTAATTAATTTTACTTAAAAATCTGCATCTTACAGAGGTGCGTGAGGGGAAAGTAATGATCTAGAATTTGCTGTGGATGCTATTATTTGACTGACAACAGGCTTTTTAGTGCCAAATAGATCAGAGCATCAGTTTTCCCTGCATACATTAGCTTTGCAGGTGGACAGGGCTAAGAAAGCTGTTCTGATTTAAATGAATATATGACTTTTACAGGAGGAAAAAACGAAGTAAAATCCTAACACTGTGATATTTTCCCCTTCTCAGTATATTTTCAAGGCACCTGTGCACAGAATCCAAATGGCAAAGCAGCATCGTAAGGAGTTTACATATTTTCTTCCCTAATGAGATAAAATATTTGCTATTCAGAACTTTTGTTGTTTGTTCTCTCGCAGTGCGTACAAGACAATTAGGGCCATTCTTTTTCTTAATTAATTTTATCTTAAACTTTTAATCATCAGCAAATCACTTCCAGATGTGATTGCTGTACTGGGTAACCATTCTCCATCACTGCTTAAAACCATATATATAGGACAAGAAGTGTTAATAACTTTTGACAGAAAACAAAAAACACTAATCCACACTGGTATACTTCTTGCTCAGAATGGTAGAGAAGATAACAATTTAACCCCGATTAGCCTTTACTACAAAATAAAAATTACTTTTGGTTGAGGTATACTTTGTGTTCTTACAAAAAAGCGCATTGCAAATAAGCATATTTTATTCTTTAATGTAGCATCAGCAACAGGGAAAAATGAACAATACCTGACACTTCAAAATATATATTTGTATCTGGGAACAGTGAACTGTTTCATTGAAATAACAGGAAAACACTGCAATGTGGTATGATACAGAAAACAGTTTGCTTTTTAATTACAGCATACAGAATGCTTCAAAACTACAGAACTATAAATTGCCATGTAAAATATGACAAATGTCAATGTCAATAATATTGACTCCCCCTCAAGATTAGAGTAGTATAATTATATTTTAAATAGTCATCCCAGTGTGTAAATTCAATGTAGGTGCACTGCATAAAACTTGTTGGTTGATTCTCTGTAGTAACTGGCATTCACTGTCTTACTCATGCATTTTATACTAGGCTGCTACTAAAACTGCAATGGATTTTTAATATGTGATTATTTAATTTAAAGTGGTTCTAACTAGTAATTGCTGGGTTAACTAACAGTTTCTAGTCCAGTAATTCTCAACCAGGGTGCCACAGCACCATGGGATGCCACACGATTCTTTTGGGGTTGCTGGAGGATGCCAATGTTTGCACTGTTAGGTGTATGCAAACATGATTCATAAGATAAACCCAGAGATTTCATTTAAGGATCCTAAAATCATCCTAATGTTAAAATCCTCCTGATCTGCTGTGGTCTTCCTGAGGTCTTTGCAATAGAAAAATTGCTCTATTATTTTTCCATGACAAAAAATTAGCGTAAACAAAGAGCTGACATGTTCTGAGTGGTGCCTTGAGGCTAAACACTGAGAAGCACTGCTAGAGTCTGAATGTAATATTTTTTTTAATTTAGTGTCCAGGCTAAGTCAAAGGCTATATTAATAGCTTTTCATTCTAAGACAAGGCTGTACAACCAGCACACCACAGGCTGCATGCAGTCTACGAGCACTTAAAATGAAGGCCATAGGCCCTTCTCCCACAACCATGCAGTGGGGCCTGCATAAGGGGGCTGTGCCACTGGCACAGCCTGCAAAATTGAGGAGATCCTCTGTGGCCCATGCTGTTGGACAGCCTTGTTGTAGGGTAAAGCCACAGCTTTCTTGGACTTTAAATCTATTGTGGCAATCTGCTCCTACCACCCACAAAAGACACTGTCATGCACTGACCTTATGAAAAGGCCTCATCAGATAATACCTTATGAAAACGCCTCATCAGATAATAATTACTGATGAAAATAAGCTAATGTATTCTCCTAAATCAGTATTCAGGAATTTAAGACTTAAAGGGCTGTCCTGTTTCACCTTTCTGCATTTAAGTGTTTAAAAAGTACATAGCTACAAAAGTCCCATTTATATGCAGTATGGATTCCACTTCCACCTATGGCAAAAGTAAAACACCTACCTGTGTTCTGGCCAAAGTAAAACAGAGGAGAACATTTTCAATTTCTAGCCAAATAGCCTAGTGGTTAGGGCACTTGCCTACAGAGCTGGAAATGCCTCCCATCCCCATCCTAAGAGTAGGGGATGACCTACCACCAGGCTATGGGCTAAGTGTTGGCCCCAGCTAGCTGACTAGGGGGCCAGGAGGACTATGACTCAGTGAGATAGATGCTGCCTTAGAAAGGTAGCAGCTCTGGGTTTTAACCTGGGACCCTATCACCAATAGGGCACCTATTCCCCCAGCTCTGTTTCAAAGAATCACAGGGTTGGATGGGACCACAAGGGGCACCTGCAATAATGTTATCTCTACATCACCCCAACAAATGCTTACCTAGCCTCCTCTTCAAATCACCTTCATTGGAAGTTTTCAAAACTTCCCTCGACAGTCAGTTCCACTGCCTTAATGTTCTAACACTAAGGAAGTTTTCCCTGAAACCTAATCTAAATATACTTTGCTGTTATTTAAAGCCATTGCTTCAAGCCTGCCCTCTGCAGCAAAGGAGAATAGATGGTCTCCCTCTTCTTTATGGCAGTCTTTCAAGTATTAGAAGATTGCCATCATGGCCTCCCTTAATCTCCTTTTCTCCAAAATAGATGCACCTAGAAAGTTGAAATTCTACTTGGAGCCACAGCTGAGCCTTTAGATGGTTAAAGTCTGCCAGTGCATTGGGTGTCAGTTAAGACTTATTCTTTATCTATCTATGACAGCTGAGGCAAATACACTTCCATTTTATTCAATGAATATTAAGACCAAGTTGCAGTAGGCCAGCTTCAAGTGAAGGAATTAAGAATGCTTTGGCTAAGGTCTCAACTTTGCCCTGGTGGTTACAAGTCCCCTGTTCCCTCAGCAAATGCTTTTGCCACTAGGCTAGCGACCTAAAAGGCAGGAGAACCATCCTTCTCCTTCCCATGACTCACCAGGTATGTTTTTGCCTACAGCTAAAGCCTCAGGACTTATATGGCATTAAGTGTACCCCTGGGTGATTGTCTTCTCCTTGGACAGTTATGCAACTTATTAAATATGCTCACCTGCAAAGCACATGAAAAGCACAGGTACATGAAATCCAAACTGTGCATGAATGCCAAAAGGCTGCCAAAGCATGGCAATTTTAAGTGCCACTTTGGGAGCATGAAGATAAGTGAAAGACTGGGCTAAATCCTCTTGTTGCAGAAAGTTTGTGTATTGTACAAGCAATGCATTCATCCATTGGAGAGATAACAAGAACTCCTTGCCTATTTTAAGGATCAGACAGACAAGCACCAGTGGAACTTGCTGGCCATTCTTTGCTAGAGGGACAGTCATTATGTTCAGAAAGGTCTTGGGAAAAGAAAGAGGAAGACAATATTAAAAAAAACCCCCAAAAATGCAGTTCCATGGCTCAGAAAGAGGCTGGAGTATTCAAAGACAATGATAGAAGTATATATACCCATTTTGTTTTATATCAAACACTGTATATAGGAGAATAATGGCACACACAGTTAGATACACAACATGCACACAGATGCAAGACAATATTCTTGACAGGAAGCTGAACTGCACATTTTAATGAGTACTCAAGAATCTGCGGCAGCTGAATAGTAGGAAGTAAACAGGTACAGTTTAGTACATAACTGAAGGCCAGTCTTCAAGTTTCCATCTTAATGATGGAAAAACACCCCCTTTCATTTACTGAGTTACTTCAGATAGCTGAGAGTCAGACTCCTCTTTTTTTTTTTTTTTAATCTTCTCTTCTAACAAGGCAGCCAAGCCCTAGGCACAAAAGCAAGAAGATTAATGGAATGGAAAGAGAAATGTTAATAAACTATAAACTAGAGAATCAATAAATACAGGAATTATTTGTACCTGCCTGTGAAAACTTCTCGCCATTTCCAGAAGACCTTTGCCATACTGCAAGTCAAAACAATGGCATAGTGAATACGTTTTTTACATTTTTTAAAACCTCTTTTTTAAACATTTATATTTTTTGTTACCTCATTTTTAACATTAGGATTTGCTCCATTTTCCAGCAGCAACTGAATGAGTTCTTCGTGGTTATTTAGTACTGCTACCTGCAAGTTTAATGAGAACAATCTTATAATTGTGTATTAAATTGCAGTTGTGTGCCACATGTATCTACAACATATTCCTGAGATGTTCTACTGCATGCATGCTATTCATACAGTCCCATGGCCTTCAGTACAATTCTGAATGGGTGCAGAGACTAATATTAGCAGATTCTGAGGCAGGGCCTGGGTTTTAGACCACAATGACAGTTCAAAAATATCATGAAGACTTGCAAGGACTGAATATCATCACATATACCTATTTGTAGACAGATATAAATGAACTTGTATCCATTTAAAATGTGTAGGCTATGTTCCTCTGCTGACTTAAATGAAAACATGATAGATATGGCATTTTTATGGAATGCACAAAAACAAAATTTCAGAAGGATGAATTTCAAATGTGAGAGATTCAGAGACCTATCTTATTAAAAATGCATTTGAAATGCTAAGTCTATCCAAACTAAAGCCCTGTATTTCATAAATCACACCAAAATTAATTCTGATATGTAATGTGTTAATTTAAAAAAGGAAATAGTCGTCTCACTTTCCTTTCCTTAAATAAAAGCCCTCTGGGAGGGAATATTTAATCATCACTGCCCTACTGCAGAGCTAAAGTAACAAGAATTCTCTAATTTTCCAAAAAATTGTGACCTTAACTGCAAGTGCTATTCATTGAAAAAGCTTACCATTAAAGGGGTCTTGCCATCTTTATCTTTCACATTTACATCTGCTCCCGCTTTGATTAAAAGTGATGCCACATCCTTCTTCCCTGTTACTGCAGATACTCTCATCAATGGTGTCCATTCTAAGCATGCATCTTTAGTATCTACCTATTACAAAAAATATATGCATCCTAAATTTGAAAAAAGCCTGTTCTCATTAAGAGAAGAGATGCTCATACTGCTAAGCTGACTACCTTCAAAGCCATTCTAAATATGCCGTATGTGGAATGTTACACTTGCTTAAAATACGCATGCAAATACTTTGCTAAATCAGAATGGTACTCGGTGTCCTGCAGGACTGAACCCATTAGAAATGAGATCTTGCCGTCATCTCCAACAAGAAACTAGAAAAAAAAATGGAAATAGGGTACAGGAGAAAATAGGAGAAAAGTTTGTACTGGAGGCCCCCAGGGACTGCATATTGGAATAACACCTCTGCAAGTTTATAAGAGAATGTAATATATTCCTTGCTCTACATCAAAGATAGCTCTAAAAACAAGTCTAGAACATTTCTCTTTAAAATAAATGCTTTTTTGAAAAAAAATACATGGGGGGGGATTCCTTTTACCACAACTATTTTCAACTTAGTATCTAGATCCATCAAGACCAACCATTTTGGCAACTGTACCACAACTGGCCCCACACTCTCCTTAACTGCTACTTTGATTCCCATCCTATGCCCATATCTGCTGCTCTGCTCCCTGTTCCCTACTCTGTGCTCCATGCCCAATCTCCTGCTCTGCTTTATGTTTCCTGCCCTGCACTCCCTACCTGATCTTCTGCTCTGCCTTCTGCTTCCTACCCTATCTGCTGCTGTGCTGCCTGTCTCCTCCCTGATCTGTGGCATGCAACACACAGAGGCTCCCCATGCCACTTGTGCTGTGGGTTGGCCACCTTTGATCTAGACAGTTTTCATACGAAATTTGAATAAAAGCATGGCAATGGAATAAAAGACTCCAATAATGAAAAATCATGATTTACACAAATGGGCTTAAACAAATAAAAATGACAATGCTCATTATTTTAAAAAACACAATATAAACTTAGAAGTAATTGTCAAGTTTTAATGTCAGGATCAGTAGGAGTGCTTCTTCTATGGCTCCAAGTCCTTTGCAACTTGTGCTTTCACTTTTAAAGTGCAATATCCTTCCCATCAAAAGCATCATATCATGATCAGAGAAAAAATGTACTGTAGTACATTATGTGCTTCTTATTTATTTCCATATAAGTTATGAAAAGGTAAAAACTCCAGACCCAATAAATAGATAATTAATATTCCAAAAAACCCAGTAATAATAAATTCATCACTCAGAGGAACTCTGCTGGCAAGCCACCTACCAAAAACAGGTCTCCTTTCTACTCTCTGACAATGAAACGTTAGTACTTCTACAAGTGAGGGCTGCATAGCAAAACTTGAATGTGTTGGAATCATGAACAAATGTTCCAAGACCACATTCTTTATCATACCATGAATCAAGAAGAAAATAAATTACCCATAAAAACCAAAAAAGAACGCAGTAATTGCCAGAGGTCCTGGTTTTCTCAGTTTAAAAATGATGAATTCTCCAATAGAAAACTGCAAATTCTCTGAGTAAAACCCCCGAAATCTGTGTTTTTCCATGATTAAAATGAATATATATATATCTATATCTATATATATCTATAGATATATATTTATATACAGGTATGAGCTGAACACGACATTTTATTGATATAATTACAATTTTAAAGCAATTCAGAAGCTTACCAGTGCCTCAATCACTATAAAATACATTCTAAATACCTATAAATTCTGGCATTTGATTTTGGGTTTTTTATCATGGAAAAATCAGAGCTCCCTTGCCCCCTATGCTCATCAGAATGCAGGTCCAACTGCAGCTGTCCCCCTAGCTGCTGTGTGGCTCTGAGCAGTCCTTATATGCTGGTACCCTGCTCCGCCCATGCCTGTACCCGTCACTCCCCTCCCACAGCCCCCTGGCCCTGTCAGTACCCCTCACTCCTGACCCACAGACCTGATGCCCCTGCTCCCAGCTCCCCAGTTTGTGAGCAAGGGAGTGAGTGTGTGGGGAAGGCACAGGTGACATGGCAGGGGGGGTCACATGCCCCCTGAGATTACTCCATCCACAACAGGGTGTGGGGCTGCATCCTGGCCAAACCAGCTCCAAAGGAACCGCCTCTACAACCCAGCAGGCCGAATTCAGCACAGAAGAGAGCACTGTGCTGCCATAGTGAGGTGCAGAAGTAGCAGCAGCACAGAGTTGTGCCAGGCAGGCAGGGAACACCTCACCTTCATGGTGATGCAGAAATCACAGGGGGCATATGCATCCCTCACCTGTGCCCACCCCTCCCCCCGCAACATGTGGCCTATGCTCCCTCCCCCTGCCCAACGTGTGGCCTGTGCCCCTTCCCCCACACCCAGACTTAATCTGGAGGGAGCTGAGGGAGCTGCTTTGAACCACTGCCTGGCTGCCATCTGTATGTGCACATGCACATACACATGGCACCTCTTGTCCCCAATCTCCCTCCTCCCACTCCCTGCAGCCCCAAGCGGCCCCTTGTAGGCTGGAACTTGGCCACCCTGCAAAGGGAAACCCACAATTTCCCACATTTTTCTCCTTTAAAGAGTAAAACTGTGATTTTCTCCTTTAAAAGAGAATATCATTTTTCTCCATTAAAGGAGAAAATCTCCATTTTTCCATGTTTTTCCGCAGCAAATGGAAAACCCAGATCCCTGATAATAACCTAACCAAAATTCTTCAAATCTGAACGCTACGAATGCATCATGTCTATGTCAGCATCCCTATACTGCAGATTGCAATAGTCAACTTTAAATGCTGAAAACAGAAAACTTTTTTGAACTATGCTGAAAGCAAGAGGATCAAACTTTAACCCCAGACTAGCAGGTTTGTCAATAACCATGAAATCCATATTTTACCCTATTAAGTTTCAAAGAACACAACATAACAACCAATTATGAGAAGTCAAAATTTAAAAATATGCAGAGCACAAAATACCAACACTCACTTTTTCTACACTCCTGCAGTAGCTTCTATTGACATGACTTCTCTTTAATTGGAGCTTGTTTTACAGGTCATCAATTTAATTTCTCAGCGCTTTACAGTCTCTACTATTCTCAATTAGAATAACAGTATATTTATCAGTCCTTATCTCCATATCTTCAACTTTTCATTTAGCTTCCCTGCAGTTTTGAACCAAAGCTTTCAAACATCTTATCAACTCCAACCATGTTGATTAAATTATATTCCACCCATTTGCTAATATTTGCTGAGCCGTTACTAAGTATGTCCAATTTTGTTTGCTAATGCAAGTTTGCGTCTCCAGATGGTGTGAAACCAAAAGCAGGAAAGTCTGCCTGTCTTCAATTTCATGGAAGCATGGGAGCAAACTAAAATGTTAGACTCTTATTAAAACTATAAAACCTTCAATTTTAGGCACTGCAGGGTCTGCCTTCTTTGCTATTAACTATTACCTACAAAACAAAATAACCAAAGTACAGGAATAGTAAAAACCAACAGAATTAAAAGCAGCATTTCCCTGTCAGAACTGTGATATCCTACCTCCTTCCCATTTTTTTCTTTAGCTTTACAATTTCTCACTTCCAGCCTTGTCTCTGCTATCTTTCCAGCTGAAGAGATTTCCACTTTTATCCCAAGAGACCCAGAGATACAGTACCAATACAGGAGCTAACAATTTTGAAATATTTGTAGGCCATCAGCACAACCTTCTATTTCTCAAGAAAATGCTGTTTTCTCTGTAAAACACAAAGATAAAATACATACCTGACAGCCATCATTAATCATCCATTCAACAACCTCGCAATGTCCTCCATCTACAGCCCAATGCAAAGCTGTGCAACCTCCTAGATCTCTGGCTTCCCAAGAAGCACCTTGTGCTTTTAGATATTTAATGATATTCAGGTGACCAGCAAAACAAGCTAACATTAGGCTGTAACATAAGAAAGAGAGAGAATTTGCTTGGAGAATTCACATCATTATGGCTATTTTGCATTACTGATTCTTACTTTAATTTTAACAGTCCCTTCTTGGAAACTATTCATTTAAAAAAAATACAACTACTATTTTTTCTAATATTTACTATATAACTACATTTTGGCCGTCTGGGGTGGCGGGAAACAATGATGAACACAAGAGAACTTTTTCTTTCTCCCACTTTCCCTCATTGCAGCACACAGAAGAGAGCTTTTGATAATGAACACTAGAGTACCACTTCCCTGCATACTGGCAAATAACTACGATTTAATCTAACCTTGTACTATAGATGTAGAAGTGAGCACAAACAAGCTCAATTCTAGACAGCATCAATAAAAGCATGATGCTTTCTCCAGCCCTATACAAGCACAATGTTTCCAGCCACTGCAAGAGGCAGTACAATCTAACTGTTTTTTATTCTTTTCAAATTATCAGCCTTTTATTCAAACTAAAAAGTCTTACCTATGCCCTTATATTTCGTATAATTGGGAGTCAGACTGTACTGGTAATACTTCAGGAAGTAAATACTTTATAGACAACAGATGCTATTTGACCTTGAAGAGGAATGATGTGTAGAACAGGGGAGTGAGATTTTCTTTGCTTTAAACTGTAAAACGGTGACTCTCAACCAGGGTGCCTAGCACCTTAAAATCCCTTCAAGGGTGCCCCAGTGTTTGCAGACTAGATGAACAAACATAATTCACAAGATAAACCCAGAGATTTACAATAGGAATACATTGCATTAAAATCCTTTTGACCTGTTGTGAGCTGAGTTCTTTGCAACAGAAAAATTGACTGGAAAAACAAAGAAGCACAAAATGAGTGAAAACTAACAACCCCAAGGGATGCCTTGAGTCTCAAGAAGGGTACCTTGAGCCAAAAAACGTTGAGAACTACCACTGTAAACAATATTTCTGTCCCTTAGTACCTCCAGCTGCCTGTTGAAATGCCTGTTGGGGATCATAGCTCACCTACTGAGGAAAGCCTATATACTGAGAGGTCACTGGTTTGGGAGCTGAAGAGTGAATTCTATTGTCTCCTCAACCTGACATTGGGAGGGATTTGGCTTTGCAACACCAAAGTTTTAGGCATGTTACTGCCCAGTGGAACCTCCACCCTGAGTGAGGCATTCATTCCCTGAGCAGAGCCCCAAATGTGTCTCCTGCACTCCAGGCAACTACTCGAAGTACAGGGCTACAGATCTCTCATTCAGTGACTATTTACTCGTCGAATGAGCTTTAGCTAAAGTGCCCCTGCCGCCATTTTGAAATGCAGGGCAGTGAATACATGAGACGCTGCGGGCACTTCAATTAGAGCAGCTCCTGAGAGCTGGTCTAGTTAAAGCCCCTCCCGCCCCACCACCCCACTCCCGGAGCATGTGTAAAGTTGCCCTAAGAGCAGATCCCAAGGACCAGACACCTATTAGATGTCTCAGTGGACTTATACACTGATGTACAATTCTATTACACTCTGTTCCAGTCCCTGAAATCAAATGTAATGCATTATCTTCTTCTTACCATTGCCCTTAGGACTGAGTCACAAAAAAAGCAGCAAGAAGGAAAAGGACTACCCACCACCACCACCTTTTGCATTCATTGTTTTTCTAGGGACTGAGAAGGGTGGACCATTTCGTTGCCAGAGTCCTCTTCAGTTCCTAATAGCAATCTGGAATTCTGGCAGAGTGGAACAGAATCTGGCCCAAGACAGCTACACCCCTCAAATAACACATAGCTTGGTTACTAGGACTCTCTCTCAAAATGTAAGAGGGTTTTATGCTCTCACTCCAAATAAAGCAAAGTGAGGATTTTAAAACCCTCTTTTCCCAAATGAGTGGCCTAATCATTGGGCTATTGTGTAAAGTAAGAGACACAAACACATTTCCAGCCATCTTTTGTGCAGGGTCTGATTTAATCTGTTATTGGATCTAATCTATTGGGGTGGACTAGATGACCTCATGAGTTCCCTTGCAGCCCTACTTTCCTATGATACTAATGGGTCCACTGCATAGATAAAATAGGTTTAAGAATCCCACTAAGATTTTGACACTGAGCAACTATGCAGCATCAGATCTTAGACTGTGCTGCACGCTCCCAGCAAATGAGTTTATGGGCTACAGTGGCAAAAACTTAGGGACCAAGGGAAGTAAGAATCAAAAAAGTTCTTAAATACTGGACTTAGATCAAGGACTAAATGTAGTGCCCACCTGTAAGAAAGGGAAGAAGGATCTGAGGAATTGCAGACCAGTCAGTTTGACTTGATAAGATCATGGAGCAGGTCCTCAAATAATCTATTTTGAAGCACCAACATGAGAACAAGATGATCAGAAACAGCCAGCATGGATTCACCAAGAGCAACACATGCCTAACCAACCTGATTTCCTTCGATGATAAGGTAACAGACTCTGTGAATGGGAGAAGACCAGTAGATGTGTTATACTTTGAATTTAGCAAGGCTTTTGATGCAGTCTCCCAGGACATTCTTGTTGATAAATTAAGGAAATACAGAGTAGATTCACATCCTGTAAGGTGAATACTTAATGGCTTTGATCATCAGGCTCAACAAGTAGTCATCAATGACTCAGTGTCTGGTTGCGGAGAGCTATCAAGTGGAATTCTCCAAGGGTCTGTCCTGAGTCTGGTATTGTTTAGTATCTTCACTGATGTTGGGAGATAGTGCCTGCTTAGCAAATTTGTGGATGACATCAATTGCATTGGTATTGCAGACACTCTGGAGAGTAGGGTTAGGATCCAGAATGATGCGGATAAAGTGGAGAAATACTCCACAATCAAACATATGAGATTCCGCAAGGACACGTGCAAAGTCCTGCACTTGAGATGAAATAATTGCGGGCGTAAACACAAACTGAGGAATGACTGGCTAGACAGTGGTACTGAAGACAAGGACCTGGGGGTTACAGTGAACCATGTGTGCTCTGGTTGCGAAAAAAATAATTTTAAAAAAGCTAAACACAAACTGGGTCATATTAGCAGAACCATTTCTTGCAAATAAACAGAAACGATTCTTCTGCTGTACTGAGCAGTGACAAGGCCTTACCTGGAGTACTGTATCCAGTTTTGGGCCCAACACTTCAAGAAAGATGTGGACAGATTGGAAAGAGTCAAGCAGATTAGCCACTTGGGAAAACATGACTTAAAAGGAAGGGCTGAAAGAATTAGGGCTATTTAGTCTGATGAAGAGAAGAGGTGAAGGAGGATGTGATAACAGCCTTAAAGAACCTGAAGAGTAATTATAAACAGGTTGGAAATAGACTTTTTCCCATGGTTGTAAGAGACAGGATTAGGAGCAATGTCCTCAAACTGCAACAGAGGAAATTTAAAGTGGAGATTAGGAAGAACTTTCTGACTATAAAGATGCTCAAGCATTGAAAGAGGCTACCTAAAAGAGTTGCAGAATTTCTGGAAGTCTTCAAGAGAAGGCTGGTCAGACACTTGACTGAAATGATTTAGTCAGGCATGATCCTCTGTGGAATAAGGGGCTGGACTGGAGGACCTCAGAAAGTTTCCTACCTTACAGCCCTACTTTCCTATAATCAGCTATTACCCTGTACCTGTCACATCTGCATGATCCTATAGCAATACACGAGCTAAAAACACCCTAAACCAACCTTGAATAAAACAGCCTTAAAGTTGGGGTGGTTTTGATACACTTGTATCACTTCAGAATCAGTAAAAAGTAAGTTGCATCATATCACTATCCTTTGATATTAATAATTGTTATGTCAGCCTACTGTCTCAGGTCCAGGACCTAATATTTAAATTTTTAAAAAGGTGAGTGGATAGATTCCCTTATAAGGCACTTAGAAAATAGCTGAAGCACTCCAAGAATGACCACAAATGAAACTTCTTTGAACAACTTCATTTTGAAACACTTCCACTTACATGTGAACACTTGAGAATAGTGTGGCAGGGGTTTGGTCAATCCTCTAACGTAGCACAGTACTCTGCTCTCCCCTCACAACTCCCAAAGGAAGTAAGGCAAGCAACATTGATAACAAGTCAGCATTTCCTGCACGCTTGGCTGTCCTCAGCAATCTCTGGAGCCTGAAAAGCATGCAAGGAATTGTTCTCTCCAACCCAGGGCTTGAGAAAACACTGTCTTGCATCATTATGGGGCTTTGGAATTGTGATACGGGAGGCCAAGGCACAGGAAAGCACTTACTGACTATCCACCCTGCTCCTCCCATGCCCCCTCTCCATGGGTGGAAGGTGCACATCTGCCCAAGCCCTGAGGCACTCCAAACTGGAGTGCAATCTGGAGCACTTCAAATGTACATCTGCCCATGGTCTTAGGCACCTAAAGTGGTAGTTTGGTATTTAAGGCTTGTTGTAGTGTCTATCTGTTACTCTGTGTTCCTTCCCATCATTTGTTTACCTTGTCTAGTTAGATTTTATGTTGTTTAGGGCAGATATTGTCTTTACTGAAGTAGCACAATGGAGCCCTTACCTAAGCTGTAACATTAATGGTACTGCCACGTCAGTGATGAATTTCTGGCCTATCCTAACATATTTCTGGCTCTTGAAGCCTTAACTGAATCCACAACATGACACAAACATACAAATACAGTTTTAAATCAGACTATCAATATTAAAAAGAGCATCCTGCAACAAAATCACTAAGGCAAATATGATATTCTATCTGCCCACCGTGGCAGATGGCTTATTAATAATACATCATTTTCTCTTGCTCGCTTATCTATTTTAAATGTAGTAATGATGAAGACACTGTATTGTCCTTTCAGTGATCAGCTTTCCTCAGCTTTATGTTTCTACTGTTATTTTACTGCCTTAATCCTTTGCTCACTCTCAAAATTTGCTTCTACACCCACCTTTCACATCTTGTTCTGAATGTTACAGTCTAGAGAGGGACATGAAGGTAGGATAGGATAGGATAGCACCTATGTTCTGCCTAGCTTCAGACTAACATGGCTTACTACCT